CTTATTAGAACGAGAAAAAGAACAAACTCTTTGCATTGCTCATAAAAGATGTGCACTCAATTCCAATGAGGTGAAGAGATTTTATTTTTTATTGAGTATCTCCTGTCTCTCAAACCAGGAGCCTCGAAGCAGCCAACCTTCAGTACAGTGTACACACACTACAGTATAATACAGATAGCTCGAATTCCTCGGGACCGGCCTCGGTAGTTTGAGGGATCCGTAGTTCGAAAGATATCTTAAAAAGATAAAGAAGAGGGGAAAAAAAGGGGGCTGCAGGCACTGTTCGATGGATACATGATTTCGAATCTTCTTTGTTCGACCTATCTGTGTTATACTGTAAATTGTTTTGATGAGAGAGGAAAACATGTTCAAAACATAACAACAAATGTCTGCTCTTCTAGACCATGTCTTTATCTTGTGGTTCAGGCAGACGGAAGGTACACTAAATATAATATGTGAGGCAGCGTAGAGGAATCAGGCTCTCGTCAATTTTTGGGCATGTAGAGTTATTGGTATCATCTTAAAGCTTGTTTACTTGTCTTTATTTGGAGGGAAAAAATATCCATTTATCTTGAATACAAGTCGAGATATTTGCAAAAGAAGGAGGTGGGGGTCACCTGTTTTTAGATATAGAATTAGTGAGAAAATGGCCGCCAAAGATTAGTTATTTCCTTAGCTTAAGAGTCTGTGGTAACTGAAAATTTGCATTTTTTTATGCCTTTAATCAACGCTTTTCAGAAAAACCCACACAGAAATGAGTTTTTTAATGGGCATGAAAGGTGATGAGCCAAAAAACTAAAATTTGATAAAAATTCACAAACCCGTGGAAAAATGCAAGCTTCTTCACTTTGATTATTTTGACGAGAGCCTGATTCCACCACACTGCCTCACAAATATTCAACAGTTTTGGCCAGACACTAAAAGCAACACATGCATGTTCTTTATTATATATAAAATATTACCTGGTCACAAATGGTGAAATCAATCACACCAACAACACATTATCATGTGATATTATTATAATAATAATAATAAATAATAAATTGCATTTATATAGCACATTTCCACAAAGAAGTGCTCAATGCACTGTACAATAATACAAAGAACATATGCAGTGCACAGCTCCTGTAGTAATCCTCTTTCTCTCTCTCTCACTCTGCCTGCCTCTCTCTCTCACTCTGCCTGCCTGCCTCTCTCTCTCACTCTGCCTGCCTGCCTGCCTGCCTGCCTGCCTGCCTGCCTGCCAGCCAGCCAGCCAGCCAGCCAGCCAGCCAGCCAGCCTGCCTGCCTGCCTGCCTGCCTGCCTGCCTGCCTGCCTGCCTGCCTGCCTGCCTGCCTGCCTGTCTGTCTCTGTCTCTCTCTCTCTCTCTCTCTCTCTCTCTCTCTCTCTCTCTCTCTCTCTCTCTCTCTCTCTCTCTCTCTCTCTCTCTCCAGTACATCTTGAGTCAAGACAATCCCACAAAGCTTACCCAGACAACCTCAGACACATTGATGAATTCACAGAGACCTAACTTCTTACAGAACAGAACAGCATGAATAAACGATACTGAGAGAACATAATAGATACTGAGAGAACATAATAATATTTGATACTGAGAGAACATAATAATATTTATATTGGGAATGTTGGAAATTACAGATTGAAGCTGGACTGAAACAAATGCGTTTTAAGTGCTGATTTAAATTTTGAAAAAGTGGTAGACTCCCGTGGATGAGTTGGTAAATAAAGCGTTCCACAAGGAGGGGGCGTGGTGTAAAAAAGCTCCCCCTCCGAGTCTCCGACTTTTGCTTTGGACAGGTCTTAAAAGTCTTTTCATCACCGATCTTAAAGGCCGAGATGGTATATATTCGATGACCATGTCACAAAGATATGATGGTGCAATGTTGTTGACGCACTTAAAACAAAGAGCAAAACATTATTTTGTACTGAATTCGTGCTTTCACCGGGAGCCAGTGTAGTTGAATTAGCATTGGTGTTATATGCTTTTTGAGAGATTTCTTTAAAATTAAGCGAGAAGCTTGGTTCTGGAGTCGGTGCAATCTATTTAACGTTTCAGTGGGAAGCTTTCCAAACAAAGAATTGCAGTAGTCTAGACGTGAAAGGACAAAAGAAGAGATGAGGGTTTTGATGGAATCAACACTAAGATATGTTGACATTTGTCCTATTCTGTGTAGTTCTAAATAAATTACTTTACATAGATGATTTATATGATGGTGCAGAGAGAGTTTGCAGTCAAAATAAACGCCTGGATTTTTCGCTTTATCTGTGAAAAAGATGTTATCATTCCCAATACATGTATGGTCAAAATTACAAAGCAATATCCCCGGTTTGGCATTGCAAAACAGAACTTTGGTCTTTCCACCATTCATTTTAAGTCTGTTTGATATCATCCAGTCTTTTACCTCCACAATACATTTTTCCATGCTGGTAACTAGACAATTGAAATTTGTTGGTAAAACAGACTTGTACAGCTGAGTGTTGTCCGCGTACATGTGGTAGTTAACGTCGTGCTTCCTAATTATTGAACCTAAGGGCTTTGTATATAGTGTAAGAGTGGTCCGAGCACGACCCTTGGGGCACGCCAAATTGCAAGCTGAAAATGGACGACACTTCACCATTTATAAGTACAGACTGTGTACAATTAAACAAATAGGACTCGTGTACGATTAAACAAATAAGACTCGTGTACGATTAAACAAATAGGACTCGTGTACGATTAAACAAATAGGACTCAAACCATTCAATAACAGTCCCGGATAGGCCGGAGCTATGGCCTAACCTCCTGATCAAAATTGAATGATCGATAGTATCGTATGCAGCACTTAGATCGAGTAAGACAAGAACAGACACTTTGCCTTCATCTGCTTCACAAAGGAGGTCATTCTGGACTTTTAAAAGTGCAGTCTCCGTGTTATGAGACGCTCTGTAGGCCGACTGGAAACATTTTAAAAGTGACATTCTATTATGTGGCATTATCATGTGGTGTCATAGTCTGTCTGTTTTCTTCTGTCATTTAGAGTCCAGACATATGGATCACTTTCAAGTCTGTCTAACATCTGAACCAGGAGCTGTGCACAACCCAGTCTCAGGATGCTGAAAACTGGGGGTGGTGATATCAAGCGTCGAATCTGAGCCCTGTGCAGTGTCCATTGTAGAAAAATTTGGACACTGTGCATTATCCACAAGTGACAAATCTGGATACTGAGCATTGTCCACAGACGAAAAATTTCGACACCTTGCCTTGTCCACAGATGAAACATCTCGACACTCTGAGTCGTTTGCTGGTGAAAAATCAGGACACTTTGCTTCGTCCACAGATGAAAAATCTGAACATTCAGCTTTGTTCATCAGGGGGAGAACGTACTGTGAGGGAAAGTTATCCACTTTCTTGCTGTCAATGTGAAAAGCTGGGGTCACCCACGCACCACATGGACATTTCTCACCTGAGAAGACAAGGCAAGAAGAAAAAACGTTAGGTCGAAACAAATTCCTTGGTTTTTTTTCATACTTCCTCTAAGCTAGTTCCGTGCTCACAGAACCAGGAGTGGACACACATCATGCACATATGGACATCCCACTTTTCAAAAACACAAACGCACAAGACATACGAGAACACACATAAAATATGTATACTCCTAAAATATGTCTCATGATACAGTGAAATCAGGCGCTTTTCAATCCTTGTTAAATCAGAAATGCGAGGGAAGTAAGCATTTGTGGACTGATCCTGCTGTATTTATTCATGGGTAGTTTCCATTGCCGCAAGTACCCACGAACAAGGGTTTTGGCCATTGGCAGGCCTGCGCATGACACATTACGCGTGTGTGTAGCTAGGTTAAGGACTAGAAGACCGAAGTCTGCAGCACACCGTAGCCCTTTATCGATTCACCCGATGCGTGTGCTCGCAGCGGTAGCGTGGCTTGCGTGGGCTTGCTTAATCACTGCATTACTCTCTCTTTCTCTTACTTTTTATACATCGTTAATGAGCCTTTGTCCCTGCTATAACCAATTGGGCTCTGATGATGTCCTGTCATTGCCGATCATTTTTAATTGAGACAAAGAGTAGGAAAAAAACGGGGATTTTAAAAATCCCTGCTGTTATTAACGGTTCCCAGTTAGTACCGGGCCTGTTATATAATATGGTTTCCACTGTATCCCACTTCAATTCACATACCGTGCCAAACGTAAGAACCAATCTTGCAAAAACATTTCGGGCAGTGAAGCTGAAATAAGAAAAAAAAAATTAGGTGAATATAACCTTGTAAGGCAGAAAAAAAGAATTGACAAAACAAAATACAAACAACAGCAGAAACCTCATTTTGTTTATTTTAAAAGGCACAGAGATGAGGATTGGAGTATACTTACTGTACTTTTTCAGCCCAGACTGTCCTGAATTGGGCTCTGGGCTAGCAGACTGTCTCATCTACAAGTCCTTAACCAACATTGTAACTTCCTTCTTTGCAGTCTTTTCCTCTGGAAGCCCAGCAACTTTGTGATATGAGGGCCATCCTCTTGGGCTTGTTGTGCATAATTACCTTCTTCTTATTCTTAGAACGGTAAGCAATTGATAGTCTCCTAAGTTATCATTTGTTGGCACCATCAGTCACAGTGGGCTGCTGCAGGGTGACATCCACAGATTCTACTTCTGTTATTTCTGTGGAAAAGTCTTGCTCTTTCATAGTGCTAAAAGACCATCATTGTGGCGATGTGCCTCTTCTTTACTCTGGCAAAAAAAGAAAACAAGCTACACTTGGCATCCTTTTTTATAGTAGCACACACTGAGCTTCCCCAACACCACAAGCAAACATCCTTAAGACACGGATGCTACTGGACTTTTGTAAAAATAACTGAAACATTTTTCGAGACTAGTTTAGCATGCAACGAAACAATACATGCGACAAAACAGTGTTATATCAGTTCAACAAAAAAACAAAGTTCCTAACGGACAGTGCCCAAAATAATGGAAAAAACCCGGAAATAACGATAAAACGGCATCCCTGTTAAAATGTGATGGGCTCTACATTTTTGTTGAAACAACACAGAACATTCATTTCTTTTTGGCAACATCAACATCCTTCATGAAGTGTTCTCTATGGTGTTTCTTCTGTTGTGTAAAAAGTATCATAGTCTCTTTTTAGTTTTAGTAGAGGTTTTACGGCGCTCGCAACTGCATAAGGTCATATGAGCGCCAGAAGATTAGAGGCGTTACAACGATGTAACAAACATAAAAAAAAGAAGAAGGGGAGATAAGGGCGATAGAAGTTTGATAGGAAAGAAGGAGCAGACCACACCAGAGCACCCGCCAACCACCCACTTAGTCTCTTTGCCTTGTTTACTTAGCACAGGAGTTTGACTCCCAAGTGGTTAAGGTGTTTGATTGAACATCTCTCTATCTTTCCCTGTGGATGTATTCCACACAGCACAGGTTGTTCTTCACTGGGACCATGTCAAAGGAATGTGAAAATCTAATGCCATCATTGCATAATTCAAGTCATTTAAGAGGTGGGCTGCTGCCAACATAGGCTGAGGTTACTGAGAATGATACAACGACCCCGCAGAAAGACAGAAACATTCAATAACACTTTCACACTTGAGAATTGAAGGCACATCTTCTGCATGCAGCAGCAATAAATAATCTGACCATTACACCGCTGAAAGGTTATTAGCCTACCTCCTTGAGACTTAAACTGTGAGGCAGAATGGTGAAATCAGGTGCTCGTAAAAAGAATGAAATCGAAGACAACGAAACTGTTCTTCCCATTTGGCAATTTCTGTTGAATTTTCATTTTTCAATTACTTATCTCTCCTGTTCGCTTAAAAACACTTTGCTGTGTGGCTTTTACTAAATTAATGATTAAAGGCAAAAATGTAAATTTACAGTTTCTAAGGACTCTTAAGCTTTGGAAGTCATCTAACTTTAGCAGCCATTTTCTCTCTGAGTTTACCTCTGAAACCAGGTGACTCCAACTCCCTTCAATCCAAAATATCTAGACTTCTGTTCAAGATACATGGATAATATTTTCATTGAAAGAAAGATAAATGAACAAGCTTTAGGATGATGCCAATCACTCTGTATACCCAAAAATTGACGAACACCTGATTCCACCTCGTCGCGACACAACTGTGTGAAATGGGGAGTAAAAACAATGACAGCCTATAGTTCCCAGCTCCTTCTGGACAGATTCTCCTTTAAAATGGGCCATAAATTTGTAATACCTTTCCAGAATCAGAACTAACATTCTCCATCCACGGCAACACTTCCACAAACAGAGAAATCTTGCACTCAGGGACATGTTCATGATTTGACGATTCAGGTCGTTGACTGGCTGGTATCTTGCTTCTCCAGTCAAATGCTGCTTCACCATCTCCTTCGTTGTGACAAGTCAGATCTTTTTTATGGAAAAGCATTGCTCTGAAGAACAAATAATATTGCTAAGTAAACGGGTTTAACATTCGTTCTAACTCTGTAAGGATTCTTAAGAGTTAAGATAGGCCTTATTGAATAAAGAGAAGCACGCTGAAAAGACAACAGCCATTAAGTGGAAGGGAAAAGTAAGACAGACGCACAAAAACAACAGGCGGCAAGAAAAAACATAAGACCTACTGAATCTATCCACCAGTTACTTAAGAGGTGACCTTCAATACAGGAAGTTGTAATGGAATAAAATACACTCAATGCTATGGAAGCCATTTTTTTAAAAATATAGTAGAGTCCACTTAAACTAAAATCTGCAAGATTGACACATTTTTTTTCGGTTTAGCTGGGTTTTTGGTTTAGAGAAGATGCTGAAATAGAAGAAAAAATTGGGGATTTTATTTTCTTTTGGGTTTAAGGTGGTTTCCCAGCCATTTTTGTGCACTCCCTAACCCCCAGTCCCAGCCAGTACAGCAGTATTTCAGGAAAAGAGGCATGTATTCTAAAAAAAAAGTGATGTAGTAGGTGTATCTCTGTAATGAGATTTAGATCATAACAAATAACAATGTTTAAAGGTAAACGAACAAATGTTATGAAAATTAAAATTTAATTAGGGTCGCTAAATTTGAAAAATGTGGAACTTGGGTACCCTCCAAAACTGACAATGTTATAACTGAGTGAAAGTCGTGACGATTCCGCCATATTCGTAATGACGGGCAGCACTGGTGAAGCCCCCCCCCCCTTCTACCAAATAATAGTTATTATTTTATGGTTTTATCAATACAATTACAATCATTCAGGAGGACGGCTGCTTAAATCAAATCTGCAAAGCCAACCATGGGTGAGAGGAACACATCATCCCCACGGACAGATGGAAACTTGATCACTTTTTTTTTAAAGACTCACCTTCATGACAGTTTTTCTCATGTCTTTGACTTGCAGTGATGAAGTACTTAAACATAACACCATAGATGCAAGTCTACAGCACTGGGTGACCTAAAACTGAACCCAAAAGAAAGACAAGGTTTAAGAAATAGATAGATGAATATCGCACCTGCATTTTCTACACTTGTATACAGACTCTGCTTCCTCCTGAACCGGTTTCTGTAGCTCTGAAGCTTCCTCCGCCATGACTCTTAGACTCTCTTGCTCTTCTTCCTTTTCTTCTTTTTCTTCTGCTTCTGCTGTGAAAGTGAAATATAAACAAGAGGAAGGATAAAATGTATTATGTTACATCCACTAATATACTGTAATGTAGGTGAGGCATCGTGGTGAAATCAAGCAACGCTCAAAACAAAGAAAAGTGTGTGTGTGTGTGTGTGTGTGTGTGTGTGTGTGAGGAGGGGGGGGGGGGGGGGGGGTCTATTTACTCATTTCTACATTTCTCCCATCCCCAAGTTTCTGACCTCCACTATCAAACTCATTACCCTTTTTTTTCTCTATTAATTAATCATGTTGTACCTGCCTTACACTTCCAACTACACAATTTTGATTATTTAAAATTTCTCTTCAACTCCTCCCTGTTCAGACCAATCCAGGTTGCGCGTGGAAACAATTTAGTAAACACATGGAAATATTCAATAAAATGTCATCCCCAATTGGGAACTAAACTCATGTCCTCTGCACGCAAGGGTACAAGGGGAAGAGCCTGACTGTTACTTTGCACAGTCTATGGATTTGCCACGCCAAAAACGTTTAGGCCACAACAAGAGTTTAGAAGCCTATAAGGCCTAGGATCTTGTTATTTGTTCATAAAGTTGTTATTCAACATTCTTTGTATACTTTGACACTTGGCCTCCATACCATAAATATTATAAGAAGGACGAATTTCTTTAAAAACCTGTTATTTTGTATACCCCAGAATGGTGCTGGTAATTGCTAATATATCGTATGGATTTTACTGATTCCTTCAATGCTGTAAACTTATTTAAAAGGTGGGATCTCCAAAATTCACCTAAATCTCTGATATGACAGTCAAATGGTTTGGGAACTTTCAGATCCCCAGACAATCCAAGTACAAAAAAGTTCGACATGGTATTCAGACCAGGGCAAGGCACTAAACTGGTATATTTACCACCTCGGACCAGAGCCATTCACAGGACATCAGCTGAGTTACAGGTATGCCCTACACTGTCGTAAGCTGACAAAATGCCTTTTTAAAATTCATAGCAATTACGAGATAAAGAGACTTTTTGTCACAGAAACCATTTAAAAAAGGCATTCTTCCGAAATTTGAATTCTAATTTATTAAAAAACTAGATATGGTCACTTAGATTTTTTTCACACAGGTAGGGTAACTGATAAGGCTTTCGATCTTGCAAATTTTAAAAAATTGACGCAAAAAATGGAAAAAAGGCATTTTGTCAGTTGATGGCAGTACAGGTGTTGTCAAAGCCAGAAGGATTGGGAAGAGGTTAGTGTACATTAAAACCAATACCAAGCAAACCCCCTTACACTTACAGGTTTCACTTTAAAAAAAGAACTCTACAGAAAAAAAAATAGATCATTTTATTTCTAACCTCCGTGATCAGTCACTTTCTTCTCCTTTTTGTTGAGCTTTCTCATTTGTCCAGCACCAGGCGCCAAATTTTGGCCTCCGATGATTTTACTCTTCATGGCCTCAAATCTCAGCAGCTGCTGCTCAAATCCGGCATTAGGGCTGCAACATACGGGTCAGAAAAAGTGAAATACGTTACAATTTTCCGGTAAAAGAAGATGGATGAAGGGTGTTGTGACAAAATCTATTAAATCTGAAACATGACTTGGCTCTAATACATAGTTTAGGATTCCTTGGAAACTGAAAATCTAGAACATCACCTGTTGCGGTTTTTTTACTATTAAATCACTGTTATCTAGACGAAAAGTTAACACATTCTACGCTTCCTTGCCTCCGTTTCATTCACTTTTTACATCCTTATTGATCCTTTCTCTGAGCCGAACGAGAATTGAAAATGTCCCCAACGTGTACGTGATATAGCTTTACTCTAACTACTTATAGCACAAAACCATTAGCAGTAAAGATTAAGGATTTAACTCATAATCTAAAGGCAAGACAAAGCCATGTATATTATAATATACAAAGTTGCTTGGCAAACATGAAGTAAGTTTCTACTTGAAAGGTATAACTTTTAAAGTCATTTTTTTTTTTAAATAAAAAAAAAGACAGTTACAAGAAAACAGATTTTAATACAGTAGGTGTCGCATTCAACGAAGTTGCAGGGACCGGCTTGTTGTCCTCGTTGGATCCGACCTCTCGCTGAACGTGACTAAAGCTAAAGACAAGAAAGGAGACAAGTTATTACTGTATAATACACGATGTACCAATACCAATTATTAAAACAGTTATTCCCATTGATGAAGAAAGTCTCAAATAGCATCAGTGTGCACGTGTTTGAGCTGTGTTCTAACCGTCATTTCTGAATTTTTAAAAAAATTTTCCGGAACACTTCTCTTGTGGAAACATACCCTCTCACACCTAGGCCTAGATCTACATAAAGTAAAGCCTGGAGCTTGGATTTTATGATTAGGGGAAGAAAAGAAAATTGAAAAAAAATGAAGAACTCAATCTAGACCTACCCGTCCAGAGTTCATCCAGTTTCAGACAGCCCGCATCGTGTTCCCACACACCCCCTCCCATCCCTACCGTAGGCTAACCCTCGTCCATCCTCTTGGCTTTGGGGCCCATATTACGAGGCACACTAAATCCAGCAATACAACGTGTTAGGAATCGAGGATGGGCCTTGTGTTTCGTGTGAGATGGAGAGAAAGGAGAAAAATTCTTCGCTTTCGGGGCCGCTAAGTGCTTTTATTTGGTTATTGCAACCTCGCTGAAAGCAACTTTGGTCTGTTTGCAACCTCGTTGGAGCTGACGTACATTTACAAAGAGATAAAGAGGGAAAATCGGGGGATTAAGGATTGCCTCATTGGAGCCGACTTCTCTTTGAAAGTGATCTCGTCGAATGCGACACCCACTGTACTATTAATAAAAATGATAACAATTATTGTATTAATAATGATAATAATAATAATAATGATAATGAAGATGATAATAATAATAATATTAATAATAATAATTATAATAACAATAATAACAAAATTGGAATAATAATAAAAGTATAATAATGATAACAATAATAGTAATAACAGATTACAATTAAATATCTGATATTATATCTCTACTACCGTACTCAAAAGAAGGCAATGATCACCATGAACAAATGTTCAAATATATCAAAGACTATCAATTACTGCAGCCTGCTAGCATCAGCTCAAAATAAAGACTGCCACACCCACCAGATGATAGGCCGGCATGACCTAACTTTCTCTCTTGCTGCTCTGAGGCTCAAGTTGAACTTGTACATGAGGTAAGCGATCACCACTGTGGCACTGCGAGACATTCCTTTCTGGCTGGAGAATAAAGGTATTGTCAATGTTTATATGGTGTGGTATCATAATATATGGATTCAATGTACTTTTCCATACTAATAGGGGAGTCTCTGAATTTAACATTAATCTCCAATATCAAAATAACATATCTGTGTCATGACGCGGCGGAATCAGGAGCTCGTAAAAATATGAAATTGAAGAAACCGACATTTTCCTGCCCATTGGGAAATTTTTATGAAATGTTATATTTTGGGCTCAACACATTTTTAACATTTTATGTCCATTGAAAAACATTCAGTCTCTAGACTCACCAGTGCACCAGTACTCCTGTATGGTTCTCCCTTGCTTGGTCAATGAAGGCAAAACATTCAGATAGCAAAGGTAACAAGTTGCAGCCCTCTATATCAATGGCTGGCAGATTCTTGAAAGTTCTATTGCGCCTTACAGCCTCATGAAGTGGTTTCTGAAGTAGTGACAAAACATGAGTGATGTTCTTAGAGCGTAGGTCTTTTTCATTCTTTGCAGAGGATATTGGCCCCAGGTAAAGGCCTTCAATGATGAAATCTGAGGTTTCCATGATAGATATCACCTGAAAAAAACATGAAATGAGAGTTAATGAATCTTCATGAATATTGTGATTTTTTTGTAGCGCAAATTGACTGACTTAAGTAGTTTGCAGGCATACATAAAATTGAAAACTGGAATAAAAAGAATTCGTATGGACAGAGAGAGAGAAAGAGAGAGAGAGAGAGAGAGAGATGAGAGAGAGAGAGAAAGAGAGAGAGGGTGTGTGTGTGTGCGTTGGGGGGGGGGGGGGATCTCTTAACTGTTGACACAATCGCAGTTCTAGCCTATCTGGGTGTAAAAGTAGAATCCTGAGGTATACCCTCGTCTAAATAGCAGACAGAAACAGAAACCAAGAAAATCCTCACTGAACAAAGGAACGGGAGGTGGAGATATCAAATGCTTAAGCCATGGAATTTAAGGACCTTGACAGACGAGCTACAATTTCCACACAGACAGCCCGCATCCGCGCAGAAAGTGTCGCTTACTTTTGTGTGGCAGCCACACGGGGTGACATTTAATGCTACTGCTCAGTTCAACAGGGACCATGGTACTAGGAGAGTCAGGGTGGCTTTGGTCATAGTGATGAGAAGATACTTTTAAAAAAGAAAGCGATAAATGAATTTGGGTTCGTCCTGTTGTTTCTCACAGATTACTAAGAGGACAGTTTTAATATACATCTTTTTTTTTTTTTTGTAAGTGTTTTACGGCACTCGCAACTGCATAAGGTCATATTATCGCGCAAGACATACCAAACATTTTCAATTGGTTGAAAATTTTGAATTTTGCCAGAGTGGCGGCCGAAGCCTGCTCTTACTGATTTTGGACCACTAAGGTATCTTTAATGAGCGCAGCTTGCACACGGGCCCTCCGAGATTTTTCGCCTCTGTCCGAGAAGGCTAGGTATAAATTAATCTTTCCTTCCAGAAGATCAGGGGTGTAGCTGAAAGACAGCTGTAAGAAGGAGCCATGTACAAACAATATTCACGCATGGGACACACACACGCACACAAGCAAAGGAGATGAGGGGGTGGAGGAAGAAAGTGGAGACGAAAGCAGACGACAGAACATTTTGCTAGAGAGCAGGAAAGGAGGTAAAAGGAGATAATTTTAGAGAAGAAAATTTTCCATAGCTACCCGGATTCGAAACCAGGACCTTCGAATAAGAGGCAAACACCCTAGGCCACGAGAGCCCCCAAATTTAGCCTATACCTTGTATGAAGAACTGCAAGAAAATGAGTCAAAATTCTCCGATTACTTTCGCATGCCCAAAGCCAATTTGAAGAACTGACCTAATTTTTAAAAATCTAGTTTTTGTATTCCTCACTAGTGTGGTATGATGTTTCAGCTTCTTATTGCCAAAATTAAACGCTTTACATGATAAGTAGACAGGGGTTGCACTGGGAATTGTCATGTTGAACCAGAAGCGAGAAAAAACACAACTATTTAGGGAATGCGCCGGCAGTAAAAATACATCTCATGTGTCCGCGTCCCTTGAACTAGGAGTGCTAAACGCTGGTGTGTCGAGGAGTAGCAAAATGAGGGCGACACACGTCTGCAACGCCAGGACTGAAAATTACGCCTGTCACTTGTGTGCCCGCTCCCATATATTGTCTACAGTGTATCACCATCATCATCATTGCCTTTCTCACCCTGGGTCAGGATATAGGCCACGAACAAACTCTCCACCTTTCCCTATCCTGGGCTAGTCGCTTGATGTCACTCCACGTCTTCTCACTGTTCAGTAATCAGGGTTGGTGATTTTTTTGATTTTTTGTATAAAAATCAAAAAAATCGATTTTTTAAATTTAAATCAGATTTTTTAAATTTAAATCGGATTTTTTTTATTTTTTATATTTTTTTTAAAATGTCGACACAGTTTGGGATTTTTGGTGGCTAAAAGTATGTTCTTTTAGTGCAAAATGCATTGTCTTTATTTTAACTAATGATCAATTTAAACAACTGCAATTTTAGAAAGCCTTAATCTGCTATCAGTGAATTATGGCTACAGACAAAAAATGAAGAAAATGTCAGTCTAAAAGGAAGGGGGGGGGGGTAATTATGCAAAGATAAACTTGCATTTTATTTTTATTACAGTTGTGTGTGAGCACGCGCTTGTGTTTGTCTAAAAAGAAAAAGAAAATGCTAATTTCAATTATGAAAAAAAAAGTAAATTGAATACTGTATTATTTTACTACTTACAGTGACAGGGGGGGAAAGCAGACTTTTAAGCAATTTTAGTCTACTAAATCTTATATCTGTTTTATAAAACCCAGGAAAGGAATTCTGAATGTTTAAAGATGTAAAAACAGAAAACATTTTTTTTAAGTGATTTAAATCACTGAGTTTTATTTTTAAAATCAAGTTGATTTAAATTTTTAAAAATCAACTGATTTAAATCAACCCAACCCTGGTTTTCAATTATGATTATGAAAAAAAAGTAAATTGAGAACTGTATTATTTCACAGTGACAGGGGGGAAAGCAGACTTTTCAGCATGATTATATTAGTCTACTAAACCTTATATCCATTTAAAATAAAACCAAGGAAAGGAATTCTGAAAGTATAAATATGTAAAAACTGAATACATTATTTTGAAAAGTGATTTAAATCACTGATTTTTTTTTTAAAAATCAAATTGATTTTTAAAAATTTTTAACCAACTGATTTAAATCAACCCAGCTCTGGTTTCAATTATGGGAAAAAAAGTAAATTGAATACTGTATTATTTTACAGTGAAAGGGGGGAAATCAGACTTTTAAGCATGATTATATTAGTCTACTGAACTTTATATCCGTTTTATGAAACCAAGGAAAGGAATTCTGAATGTTGAAATGTGTAAAAACCGAATAAAAAATTATTTTTTTAAAAGTGATTTAAATCACTGATTTTTATTTTAAAAATCAAGTTGATTTAAATAAAAAAAATCAACTGATTTAAATCAACCCAACCCTGTCAGTAATTCCTGCTGCGTTTTTTACATCTCGTTTGTCAAGGCCCTAAAATTTTAAGACCGAACAATAAAAAAACCTACCTTAATTACAGGCCAACAAAATCAAAATCTGAGGAAAACAAAGTTGGTTGTATAATTGATGAAAGAAAACTATATGCCCATCGGTATACACAGCACGAAGGTCTGCACGTTTATATATAAATATATATATATATATAGATAGATCTATGTTGAACACCAAACGTCCAAGTATTTTTTTAATAGAGTCGACATTTCATCAGCAAGAGAAATCGGCTCGGTCTTGAGAGATACGAGGTTTGAAACGACACACATGACGACATGAATGAGGAGGATGATTCATGGGTGACCTCGATAGACCGATAATGAGAGTTTTGTTACACCTCTCACATAATTTAAAAGATAATGATTAAGTACTTAGGAAATACCCTTTCGAAAGGTTTCATGTCTGAGAGACGGGACCACGACAGACTTGGCCTTATTTTTTTGTTGTTTACTATTTTGGCTGGAACAGATACGAATGACCTCTGACCTCTGACCCAAGATGAGGATAAGTACCCAGATTTTTTTAAGGGACCGGTAGAGTTATAACCAAATTTTGGTTATGCCGTTTTGGGAAATCACTCAGTGCATTATGGTGTTCAAGTACAGCCCTGTAAAACAAACGTGCAACCTGACTCGAGAAAACGGTTTGGAATACTAGATCTAGATTTAGATCTAGATTCTTCTATAGATTCTCTGTCTAGAATCTAGAGTATAGATCTAGATATCTAGATCTAGAGTCTGTAAAGATAGATTCTATAGACTATTACCTTGGCTATCTAGAATCTAGATCTAGAGACCACTAGATCTAGATTCTGGATAGACTATCTAAATCTAGATCTAGATTCTAGATCTTCTAAATTCACTCCCACAATCTTAGATATCTTAGATCAAGGCCACAACAAATAGATCGGCTAGTCGGCTAGCCTCTCCTCCAGGAATGCCCAACAAATATTACCGAAATTTGAACATCTGTAACTGACTGAAAAATTAAGTAATATTGGTGAATTTGGTATCAAATTTCTCAGAAAAATGAGCTCTATCCATCTAGCACATCAAAACGATTCTGCGTGAGAAAAATGATGTCTGATTAGACTGAAATAATACTCAAAATATGGTCAAAGAGAGGTAACCGTGAAAAATACTGAACGGGTGAATTTTAAGGGTTATCTTCCCTAACTCAAACCCAAAGATTATAGCCTAATACAATGGCTCACAGCTTGACGTTTGACGTGTCAGACATGGGTACTTTCTTGCTCTTATTGGCTTGGCCGGCGTGTCCCCATTAACATGTACAATCTATGAACCCCCATCCTGCTTCCCACTAGCTCTAGCATTCTAAAAACCACTATTCTGTTTCGAAAAATTGGCTACTAGTACTAATTCGTCTGTTGATCCGCGCTTTTCACGCTCTTGAGTCAGTGTCTCAGAGTGGTTGGCATCACTTCCGCGAAATGAAGTACTAATTAGTGTAGCATCTTTGCGTGTGTCGGAAATACGCACGAAAAAAAACACAATTATTAAAAAAACAACATATTACGTTAAACAGACAGAAGAAGGTAATTTCCAATGCAAAACAAGTTTACAAGTCATTCATTCTCTAAAATAATATTTTAGGCGTTATAATTACTGCTCTGCTAACCCACGTGCTTTTAGCGAAACGATACAACCAAATCAAGCTTTTGTATCAAAGTAAAGATTTTATGTGTACACAATGACCAATGACGTAGTATTTACACAAAGAACGATGACGTGTATGTGTACTCATTGAATGGTGACGCAGCCTAGTATTTACACAAAGAACGATGACGTGTATGTGTACTCACTGAATGATGACGTGTATGTGTACTCATTGAATGATGACGTAGGTGTGTAGACAAAGAACGATGACGTCGCTGGTCCCGTAAAGGGCAATAATTAGCAAGCTACCATTTCTTAATTTCATTGTTATGTCCCTTGTTTTTGACGGTACAATATTCGCTTTTTTTCTTATCAGTTTTTTCATTGTTATGTCCCTTGTTTTTCGCTTTGTTATTATTCGCTTTTTTTCAATTAATTTATATTTTCGTAATTAAAATTATTTCAACCTCCAAGCGCTAGATAGCTTCATGAATTTTCTTGCAACACCACCATCTAGACGAAATTACAAAATTGTATAGATTGAGATCGAGATTCTAGATCTAGATCTAGATCTAGATAAAGATCTTAAACTAATTCTTTGGTTCCAAAGTCCGACCCATTTTCAAAGTTCGATGACGCGCTGCCATTTAAAATTCTTTGTTGACAGTTTGCTATCAGCTGAGTCCACGTTCGGGCTATGGCTTTACTACAGCCTGTCTTAAGGGAAGAATCCGTAGATTTAGATCTAGATTCTAGATATAGATCTGCACATCAAAGGAAGAAGCTTCGACGTTCGATGCCGGGTAACTGCTGACGGATCGGAGAAGTATTAGACTCTATAGAAAATCTAGATCTAGAGATCTAGATCTAGATTCTAGATCTAGAAATCTAGATCTAGAATATAGATCTAGATCTAGATCTAGACTCTAGATATCTAGATATCTAGGTCTGGATCTAGAATCTAGATTATCTAGGCAGGCCTATTAGCTGCTATTAGTATTAGTTAGGCCTACACGCCAAGATTTAGAATCTAGTTCTAGATCTAGATCTAATCTAGATCTAGATTTTTAAATCTAACTCTAGAATATCAACTAAAGTTAAATTGTTTACGCTTTGGTCAGCACCATTTTGTTTTGGTTTTCAATAGATTGATGCCCGGTGTCGTGCTCTTGTTGTTGTTGATTCATTTAGGCCTATAGATATAGATATTGATCTATAATAGCATTGTGGAGCTGAATCTATTTTGCTATAATAAGGCACACATGTTCTCATTTTCCACACTTTACATTTTGGGTCCTTTTGACTTACTAAGACCATGACATCAAAAACCAAATGCTCTAGATCTAGATCTAGAATCTAGATCTAGATTTCTAGATCTATCTGCTCTGTCAAAACACTAGATCTAGATCTAGATCTAGATATCTAGACTTAGATCTAGATCTAGGCTATTCGAAAAACCTTGACGTTTTGTGAAACTCGAAATTCTTCTCGTCAAATTTCTCAAATCTAGATATCTAGATCTAGAGTCTAAATCTAATCTGGATCTAGATCTAGATCTAGATCTAGATCTAGATCTAGATTCTAGGTCTGGGTACTGAACAGGATATATAGACTATAGACTGTAATTTTCTAAGGTAGCGGTATGTTGTCTTTTAGATCTTAGTATCTGTAGATCTAGATCTAGAATCAAGAATCTAGTCTCCATGGCAACAACGTTGCTAAGGCCAAGACAGACAAGGCATCATGTTTTAATTTCCCAAGCTTCCGCTACACTGAAGTCGTAGAATTAAAGTACTGTCCAGCCAGCCCTAATTATGCTGTTGTATGTCAAGATCCAGAATCTAGATCTAGATATCTAGATCTAGGATAAAATTTGGGAGGCATTTTGATTTTTTTTTAAGGAAATGCCGCGTTGCGATTAGCGCCAGTGCTAATAAATGTATCAGTCACTCAAATAATTAGATTGAAGTGGGACATAATGTTTGTTTGGTTTTTTTTAATTGTTTTTTTGGATTTTGATATTTGTTTGAGAAAGGTGTCCAGTTGGTGAACTTTTGGAACAGAAAACGTTCCACCCTTTCTGAATTTCGGTCAGAAATGTACAAATTAGCATGCTGAAGATCTCTAGGCTAAGCCCTAGCTTCTCTATATGATATGTGCGAAGATTCCAACAGTTTTGATATCATATCGCTCCCTTGTAATAGTAGCGATAATGTCTGATGTGATCCAAGGATTGTTTGGTTGGTTGTTTTGCTGTTTGCGTTAACCACATTATGCTCAGTTTGAAAATTGTCATTTTTTTTCCTCATTCCAGCAATTGACAAGGTGTCCGATGGTAACTTAGAATAGGATCAAGTGATCACATGCCTATGGCTTGTGGCGGCTCATATCACAGAACAGATGGCCAAACTGTAACCTGTACCAGCACTTGCTCCGAGCTGAGTTTCAAGTTGTTTAAGTGAGCAACATGAAGATGATTTTGTTATTTTCTGGTAATTTTTCTGAGGTTTAGTAAATGTTCCAGTAGGCCTAGATCTAGTATATCATTTTCCTTGACTTTATAATAAGCTGTTTTATGTACTTGAAATCATAAAATCCAGAGTTTCACACAAATGAATGTACAACACTTTTAACAAGAAGGATAGGGAGCTGACTGTATAACTTAACCGCTTCCTTCCTCAAAACTTTCCACCCTTCAAAAGTTCCAAAGAAATATCAACAAAGTGGAAAAAAGACCATAGAAAATCTGCATGCTGTTGGATTTTCATCCAACATAGACAGAAACAAAACGTTTAATGAACCTCTTACTTGGATTCTGAAAATGTAAGCCTAAAATCCTGTATAAAACTCTTGTGGGTAATTTCTAAAATAATATAAACACCTATCTATTATTAACACAATTTGTTTGCAAAAGTTAAGTTGTTATGATTTATTCCTGTCATCCACATGAGTTACTTATCCTGTGATGTTCTTATAGCGTCTACCTATTATAAATCCAAGTTATTTGCTCAAGTTTATTGATTACCATCATTTCTATCGTCCTGAGCTCTTCATCTAATAATGTTCCTATAGCCCCCAACTATTTTTATAAAAAGTCAAGTTATTTGCTAACGTTTAATGTTATCTTTTCTATTGTCCTCAGTCCTCGTCCAATGATGATGCTGGCACTGGCCCGTGCATCTCTTCACCGGCCACCTCCCCAGTCGTTGCTACAGTTGGTGGAGCCTCGCTGTCAGAAAATGGGAGGACCAGAGACAGTTTCCTGAGACTCCGTGCAGGTTGAGCACCACATATGGATCATTTCTGCGCCTAAAACGTTACGTAGCTCGATGTACCAGGTGAAAATCCTGGAAAAAACAAGAATAATTGAGATGGGGGGTTTTTTGTGGGGTTTTTTTGGGGGGGGGGGGTAGTAAATGTTTGTTTTTGTCACGTGTCCCTTTTTCGGGAACATGCCATGTTGTTACTCATCTTATTTGTGTCAGACAAAATTATTCACGAGAATGTGAGTAAGTAAGATAATGTTCTCTAGTAAGAAAAGTGTAAGAATCAGGGTGTGGTCTTGAACCAATGTAATACTATACTTTTTTCGATCCCGAGGTGTTAACTTTATCAAATTTCTACTATAATTTGGGGGTGTTTTGACATTGACATGCATCTCAATTTTTTTCCTTATTAGTAAAAAAGAGTGTATGCAATATTCTGCTGATGGGAATCGAACCAAGATCGTCCACAACAGAGTCCAGTCGGGTAGCAGCTGTATAAAGGTACACCCGAGAGAGAGCCCTTTGAGTCTGTTGTGATATACGTAATATCTGCATGTTATATATATTATATTATTTATATAACCACCATCATGATAAGCCCTGATAACTACAAACTTTTTATTTTGCTTTTTTTGTGTGAAACATTCTACGAAGCATGTTTCGTATGCTGGCTAAAATGTATATCCAAAAGTAGGAGGGTTGCTGAGATGTGCCAGAAAAGAGAAGAAGAAGAAAA